ACTTGCCACGGTCTCCAACCCTCCTCCTTTCTCATCCGGGCTTGGGACCGGCCATGGCGGAGTTGTCAGAAAACCTCATTCCTTATTTGAGTCAAACATTTTATCTTTCGTTCCGAAAGAGAATCGTGCGAACATTGCCGTATTGCCTCCATCTTCCGTATGTGCATCAACTACGTCATCATTTTCAAAATACTTTCGTTTTGCGAAATGTGAAGTTTTCTGCGTTTGACAGTAAGTCACGGCAGGATCGGACCAACACCTCAGTCGACCAATCGGTTTTGATCACTTCGAATGTTGTTTGTCCTCACAGGTCGCTGAGATAGCGCGTCAGATGATATCGTCAGTTCACCATGTTGCGCCAGTGCCAGGTCCCCGATATGGGATATGCTGAATCCGGAAGAACTCTCGTCGGCATCGTTGCTTCAAGTTATTCTGGGTGCTTTACCTATCGGTAAAAGAAGCAACGACAGCTGGCTATCCTCTCTAATAAATTTTACAGGCAATTCTAAAATTCTCGTAATTGTGATCTCTCATTCGTGGAAACTAGCTGCTCGATTCCGACGTTTCGATGAAACTCTGTCGACATGTATAAATTCTGCAATTTTCCTTAGAAAGCACATCTCGTCGCTTGTGCAAGTTAAAGCGTTTTTTTCAACTCATTAACCATTACCCTTGACCGTAGGTTATCACGGGAACGAAAATCGACTCACACGCACACAGCTTCGTCTTTACACGGAGATTCGCCTTGGTCACCGCTGCCAGCAGTAGTTCACGAGGACTCGGTGGCCATTCCAGTCGGTCGGCCGATCCATCTGCGACCCAAGGTACATGAATTATGTAACCGTTCTCATGGCACTTCATTACTATGTAGAGTACACCGGATAGAGGACCGAGAAAACATTACAAACTCAATTTTGCATGCTTATTTCATCTGCCAGTCACATCATGCACCTGGGAGATCTACTTCTGCGAGTACAGACAGTGACCAGCGCCTCGCGTGGTGTAATGCTAATTTTTGACCGCTCATTGTCCTGGCAATGAGCAACAAGTGAGTTAAATGAGTTTTTGATTCCAATGCATTGACAGAAATACTTGCGTCTTCATCAGCGTCACGACCTCGACTTTTGAACCTCAAGGTGAATGTCAATTAATCGTTGCATCGCCACTATCCGACTGATCAGACCACGGTTCTCGTGACTTATGGCTAGAAGAATCACATTAGCTCTCAGAAAATGGATGAATGAACAAGAACAATGCAAATGACGAGTATCCGAGAGGACGTGCAAGGAGGATTAAGGAATAAAAACCGAAGTTAAGTCTTAGTGTTCAACTTTCGAACTCTGGTCTGAAAGCGCCTACGTTATGGGTTCGTTTCTTGACGATAACAGGGCGTAAAACTTGCAGCAAGTGGACAGCAACTGTAATGAACCGGTTCAGTATTAAGTTATGCCCTGGGTTGTCATACCACGGCTTACAGGGCACGGAGAACTGATGTCAAACGAGCGTACTTTACGTGCTTGCTCGTGAAGCGCTTTGTTCTAGGTTGATAGCTGACCTTCGGCAGAAAGTTCGTTTCAGAACTCCGGACGAAATCCGTGAAAAACAGTAAAAGCCAAAATCGTCATAATTTTCATAAGGCGGCACTTACGTCCGTGGACAGGAAACAATGGCAAATTTATTATGTACAAATGCACAAACAAATACAAGTTCATCATCAAAATATAAGAACACAAGAACTAGGATGTCACTCTCCTCGAATTCAATCCTCATCACAGGAGGCGCTTACGTGTTATCAGTCCATCGCATCATTAAAGCCTAAATAGAAATGATTGCTTTACACGTTACATCAGTTTACCTCTTTCCCGGCTACCGTAATTCCTTGAGCGGTTCGATTCAAGCAAGCGGTCAACAACGACGGTATCGTCTGTGGCAGCCGTGGACCGCAAAGCTGGTCAGCGATCGCTCGCAGATTGGCCGAAAATTCCTTCGGTGTCAAGCCGTGATTATGAACGCAGTCCTTGGGCGACTGTCTCATACCGGAATCTACACCCAGATCGACTGAAAAGCAAAATGGTCAGTCAGCAGACCATAAAATTTCACGAATTAACGTCACGGGTCCTTTGCCGTTTCAAGGCCGGATCAGTCGAAACCCATTATTCGTCTAAGCCATCATTTCCTTAACACTAAGTTGGAGGCAAACGGAGAGCGAATAAACAATGGATAAGGATAAAGTTTATGAGGAAGTTGGCGATATGTAAACAATGAATGGAAAAAGACCATCAAACGATGAGCCAGTTTCACAAAATCCGAGAATCCGAGAGTCGCTTTCAATGGCATTGAAGATGCAATAACTTGTTTCGTCGCAAGTTTCATAAGTCTCAGCATTCAACGGAAAATCCAGCAGCTCGAAACGACGACGTACATCACAAAGATACCAGGAGTAGCGGTACTGCGATGTTACAGGCAAGACATGTGAAGAGCAAGATATGTCACAGAGCCGAGTTCACGTGTCTCACAGCTGATCGCTGTGAGCGGTTTTCACCTCAGCTCACAGCGCGCGGTACGTCAGTGTGGCAGCCTCACATAATCGGAAATAATGCATGAAATATAGCTTTATAAAATACTCTTCTTACGAGTTTCCTGTGAGTCAGTTTCACCATTGCACCAAACAAATGGCGCAAAATTCAGACATCACTCATGCACAACTCCGTCAGATACTTCGAATCAGGCCATCTTCCGTAAAAACTGAAGCTATGAAAAAATTATGACCGCGTCAGCACGTCGTAACTATTTCGCATGAAGATGCTTGACTGATCGTTATGATAATGAGGATGACAACGACAATGATTACGGTGATATGTCATGACAGTGATGACGATGAGGACAATTAGAATTAAGACTGTGATAATGATGATTATGAACAGTGTTATTATAGTGACACTGTTAATGATGATATCGGATTGGTAATCTTAACATTCTCCTCGTGTAGCAGCATATCGACATGACGGTTTGATGGACCTACAAACAGCAGTTTCTCATCAGTGCTGACTGAATTTTGATCAGAAATAAATAAGTTGTCGACTTTCTGCAAAACGTACACGAGCATAATTTTGCCATCATTTGCTAAACTCCACTAATATGAAACTGATTCGTCGATAGCCTCGCGCCAAGCACTATCAGAGCTATTATCGGTTTTAATCATCTGCCGCTGCGATTGGTGCACGGTTCCAGGAGGTCTGCTGCTTTATTCAAGCAATTCACGGCATGTTGCACTGCCCCCTGCTCCTAATTGCGTAGGGGGAGGCACTTAAGCAGGTATTTAAGCATTTACAGTGCATGGATGCAAAACTGCATCATTTTCTCCACTAAAGCCACCTCACGCTCACTTCGAGCGATGCTTCAGCAGCTAGTAGTCTTTATACGCTACTGTATAAACATCACAAGTTGCTCGTACGCCGGAGTATGTCACGAGACGCAT